GGGGTCAAAAATGCAGGAAGAGAAATTATAAGAATTAAACACAACAAAACATGATGCAAAAATATTGTGTGGTCAAAACAGGATGCAAAAAAATCTTGAATGGTAACAGGAAAAAGCCTGAAAAGCTCATGTTTTTAGCTGATGTTTTCGTCACACATTTTTCTTGCTCCCGAACACCCGGATCTTATGCGGAAACTACTCTAATCTTCGGCACTTATGTGACCTAATTGTGTTTCAAGTGCCGTAAGACTCTTACTAAACCAAAGCGAAAACTGTTTCTGCTCTCTTGGAAATGAAATTACATGAAAATGTACCACCTTAACATAATTTCTGTCTTGAAGTAGGCGTAACACCGCAAACCGTATCATATACTCTCCTCCATTCGTACTCTCTAATAAAGCTGCTAAAACTAAAAATGAACAAGCCTGGTGTCTCGAGTAGCCACATCTCTCATGAACAAGAGCACTCTGTCACTCTCACTATTGGCACTTCGTTGTGTTCTACATACGGACCTTAGAATTATTTTATCTTTCGCCTCCTCGGTTCTACGCTAATGCAAAGAGATTTTATTATTGTTTCCCACGTTTTCTTGACATCATCTCTACGTTATCCCTATTCTACTAGCCAGCCACTGACACCCCCCGCTCCCCCCCCAAACAAAAACCCTCCCCAAAACCCCACCTATCTCCCCGCATCCAGTTCTTGATCCCTCACTCTGACAACACCTAAAAGCTCTCCTGAGCGACCAGGAAACTGGGAATGGGGCAACACGGCCCATGAATCGCTGGCATCGTTGTAGAAAAGGATTTATTGCAACTGCACATGCCTCTCTCGTCACGTGATGCGTCCATCAGCATTAATCGTGATTTCAATCAATATCCCGCCATTTGCTGGGATCTCATCGGGGAACCGGCATGTAGGTCAAGGTCAAATCTTCCCTCGACTAATTGAACTGAATTTTCTTCCTCAACCATCCGGGTGACACCGCAGGCCAAGGCTGATAAACGATTGATCCCTATCTAACTAATCATATTGTCAACTACCCCCCACAAAAAAACCGTTTAGACCTACAATCAACGCTCTTCTCCTCTTCAGTCAATCCTGTTTCTATTTGATAGCCTACAGCCTTTAATAAGCTTTAAGCTCACACTTCTGCTTTTATCGACTTCCATGCAACATTCACTGTTTTATTTTATTCAGCTACAAGTTCTTATAAAATGTATACTCTTCTTGGTTTTGTGCTCAGTATGCAAAACACGTGTACTATTTTCCGATGTTTGTTTTAGCTCATAGTTATACTGCGTTTGTCGTGACAATTTCCCACTAACGAACACCTCACAAACACCCAACCTTATA